GGGGAGTACAAGGAGACACTTATTACTGTGTAGCTATGTCACACAGTGGGGAGTACAAGGAGACACTTGTTAGTGTAGCTGTGTCACACATTGGGGAGTACAAGAAGACACCTGTTACAGTGTAGCTGTGTCACACATTGGGGAGTACAAGAAGACACCTGTTACAGTGTAGCTGTGTCACACAGTTGGGAGTACAAGGAGACACCTGTTACAGTGTAGCTGTGTCACATTGGGGAGTACAAGAAGACACATGTTACAGTGTAGCTGTGTCACACAGTTGGGAGTACAAGGAGACACATGTTACAGGTGTAGCTGTGTCACACATTGGGGAGTACAAGGAGACACCTGTTACAGTGTTGCTGTGTCACACAGTCGGGAGTACATGGAGTCACCTGTAACTGTGTAGCTGTCACGCAGTCGGTAGTACAAGGAGTCACCTGTAACTGTGTAGCTGTCTTACATTGGGGAGTACAAGGAGACACATGTTACAGGTGTAGCTGTGTCACACATTGTGGAGTACAAGGAGATACTTGTTACAGGTGTAGCTGTGTCACACATTGGGGAGTACAAGGAGACACTTATTACTGTGTAGCTATGTCATACATTGGGGAGTACAAGGAGACACTTGTTACAGGTGTAGCTGTGTCACACATTGGGGAGTACAAGTAGACACTTATTACTGTGTAGCTATGTCACACACTGGGGAGTACAAGGAGACTCCTGTTACAGTGTAGCTGTGTCACACAGTGGGGAGTACAAGGAGACACTTCTTACAGTGTAGCTGTGTCACATAGTTGGGAGTACAAGGAGACACCTGTTACAGTGTAGCTGTGTTACACAGTGGGGAGTCACCTGTAACTGTGTTACTGTCACACAGATCTGTTAGGTCAACGTTCTCCAACAGAAGTCTCACAGGTCTCATTATATCAGTACAGCTAGATGAATCTACAATACAATCTCGTCAATTATGGTGACACCCCGAAGCGGGTCCCTGGAGAATCCCTGCTAGAAGTGTGTGACTTGATCACACGTTGTGGTGGTACCAGCACCAGTACAGTGGTGTAAACACTGGACCACATGGGACTTCTAATCACATCTGCTCTACAACAACATTTCAGTCTCTACATCAGAAACACTGTACTAAATTGTTGACTTCTTAACAGAGAAATCCCCACCACTGAAGTGTAAACTGCCTGACAAGTGTAAATAACATCTCTGTCATTCTGGCCTTTAGTTGTAAATGTCCTAGGTATGTCATTCTGGCAGACAGGTGTAAATGTCCTAATGTCCTAAGTATGTCATTCTGGCAGACAGGTGTAAATGTCCTAAGTATGTCATTGTGGCAGACAGGTGTAAATGTCCTAAGTATGTCATTCTGGCAGACAGGTGTAAATATCTTACTTAACTGTAATTCTGGATGACAAATGTACAAATGACTTACTTCTCTGTAGTTCCTCAGCCCAGCTTCACGGAATGTTGGTTTGCATCGGAGATTTTTCTATAAATGAAGAAAACCATGGTTATACAATAAAATACCACAATGATACACAATGATACACAATAAAATAACATAATGATACACAATGATACACAATGATACACAATAAAATAACATAATGATACACAATGAAATAACACTATGATACACAATGATACACAATGATACACAATGATACACAATGATACACAATAAAATAACATAATGATACACAATGATACACAATGAAATAACACAATGATACACAATGAATCACTGAAGTGATAAAGTAACACTTAATGTACTAACTGATATTTACTGGAGATTCATATTATTGTGTTCTACGATATGAATATTATTACAGATACATATGATTGTGTTCTACGATATGAATATTATTACAGATACATATGATTGTGTTCTACGATATGAATATTATTATAGATACATATTATTGTGTTCTACGATATGAATAATATTACAGATACATATTATTGTGTTCTACGATATGAATATTATTATAGATACATATTATTGTGTTCTACGATATGAATATTATTACAGATACATATTATTGTGTTCTACGATATGAATAATATTACAGATACATATTATTCTTATTTTACTTGGTTTTTTTTATCTGGTTCACACACATAGGTCACAATTAGCATTAAATAGCAAAAAATAAGGAAACCTATGAAATATATAGATTTATCTTTGTAAGTTGTTTTTGTTCCACCTGATGCTTTAACAAGTGTATATAATAGACTGTAAGATTTAGTGTTTGGAAGTTTTACTTTTGTGATCTTGACCTTATCTGAGCAAACATGAACTGATCAGCTGAGATACCGAAGGTTGCAATCATAAAGTGATAATGAAATATTTCTATTTACAGTAATTAAGTGACCTTGACTTTGGAATGAGCTCTTTGAGACACAACACCTGTTCAAGATAATGAAGTACTTGACAGTGGTACCATATAAGGTAAATTTATTATAATCAATGAGCCTTTTCAATTGTCAACAACCACTGATGTACAAACTCCTGTCTGTAGTAATGCTCTGTAACATGAACGTATTCACGACTCCCAGACATCTTGGTTCACCTCCAATATCCCCGTACATATCTACAGTAGATGCACAGTGTCCTTCAGCAAACATTTTCCACCTATGCAGCCTCATAGTGAATAGTTTATATCCACTTATATATACACCTTTGTGCAAACATTAACAGGCTCACCTTTTCCAGTATGCCTATGCAGGCAGTGTGTGCCACAATTTTGCAAGCAACACACTTTTTTCTTGGTCCACTTCGCTGAAATGATACATTTAAAGTATTAGAACTATCAACACTTGTGGTTATGCTAAAAGTACTTACATTATCAAGATGAACTTTTACTATTTTCATCATCAATATCACAACAAAGAGAAAAAATAAACAAGATGCATGTAGGACATGTAAAGTTCTTTTATCTTAGCTACGCAAGGAAGGGTATCTCAGACTTGGTGTCTACCCACAGAATTAAAATGCTTCCTTGAAACCAGGGAAGGTGGGGTATCTCAGACTTAGTGTCTACCCACAGAATTAAAATGCTTCCTTGAAACCAGGGAAGGT